TTCAATATATTGAAGGATATTTTTGAACCAAAAAACGTAGAAGTTAATTTTAAGAGTATATATAGGCTGTATCTAAGGAAGAGGAGCAAATTGTATCTGGTAAGGAGACAGAGTTGAAAGTGGATTTCTATAAGAATAACATGGAATGCTGTATTACTATGTATGCAAAAAAACCTGTCTGATTAAAATGAAAAAAAGAATTTGCATATAACAAACCAAAAAGGGTGACCTGAGTAACTTTCCTAGACTGGCTTTACAAAAAGAGACTTGTTAAAGCTTTGAAGAATTTTGTGAGAAGGGACAAAGAAAAAAAAAAAGCAATGAAATTCTAGGATATTATTTCAATGAACTGAAGATTTAGCTCATTAAAAGTTAAAAGGAGAACAATGAAGCAAATCTACAACACTACAACCAACCAAGCCAGATAGGCCAATCAAAAACATTATCTGCAATAATCTTGATCAAGACACTTTGTATAAAGTTGCATTAAAAAATCAGAAAACCCCACTCGAACTTCTCAGTGCACTGATAACATTACTTAATTAAAAAATAAAATGTAAGAAAAACAAGCAGAACGAACATAAAAATCTTCTCACTGTAATTCTGAGCTTTGTGTACAGTATCCTCCAATAGTTTAGAAACCTTTAACAATTTCACACTTTGCAACACAATATTAGCTGGTACATGGATTCCAGCGTATTTGAAGAGCTGAGAGCCACATCTTAGCCTTCTGGTTTTCTGCAGATTGCTTCTTTGGCCCCTGAGGTGGCAGCCATGGCATTCTGAATGATTTTCCCCAAGTTCTTTGGAGATTTATTATTGTGGAACCATTGACATCAGAATGATTTCATCCTTATTAAATTGCATAATTAGATTTTAGTATTATCTTGTTTTATGTTTTGAGAGCTGTTCAGTGCTTAGTGTCTTAGTCATTATACAATAAATAAATCCAATAAATAAATAACAAATGATGTCATAGGAAGAGTTAAGGCTGAAGTGTTGGGATGCCCCCCCCCCCAATGTTTAGGTGATTAAATAGTGGAAAAGGCTGTGGTAGGTCTCTGAAAGACACATGACTTCTATATCTTTAGAATCCCTATCTAAAATGGGGGGAAAAAAACAAGGGAAGTCAAGGGCAGCCGTTGTGACATAAGCTCTGTCCTTTTTGTTTGTATGCTGTGACAGTGCAAACAGTATTATGGCTAGAATGGAGGTTATGGTGCATTTTGATACAATCTCAGGATCCTGCAGATAACTCTGCACAAATCATACAACGTACACAATGCTGAAATGCCGAATTTTAAAAGAACATATCTGATACCGGGTTTCCCCGAAAATACGACCTGTCCTGAAACTAAAGCCTTGCCACATTTTTCGCGTGGAGAAAAATATAAGCCCACCCCTGAAAATAAGCCCCCTGGACAATTCCCCCCCCCCNCACTTTTTTCAATGCTGTTGTAACTTTGAACGGTCACTAAATGAAATGTTGTAAGTCAAGGACTACCTGTATAAGGTATAACCATGGAGAATTCTTAAAAATCAGTTCTTGCTTGGCAACTGCTTAAGGCTAGGAACTGTACTTGTAAGGATCTAAGGGCAGGCTTCAGGAAGGGCCGTATAGAATAGGCCCGTGATGGCAAACCTATGGCACGTGTGTCACAGGTGGCACACAGAGCCCTCTCTGCGGGCACGCAAACCGTCACCCCAGCCAGCCCCACCTCCTGCCGGCCAGGTAATTTTTGGGTTTCTGCCACACATGCACAGGGGGAGGGATGCATGCAGGAGATGTGCACGCATGCACGGGGTTCAGGCGACGTGCCCCCCCCCCAGCCCATTTTGGGTCCCAGGAGGCTTCAGGGAGGCCTGCTAGACTCAAAACTGGGGCGGGGGCAATGTGGCGGGTGGCTGCGCAGATGCGCATACATGCGCAGAGGGGATGGGGCATGCAGGGGATGTTGCACATGGGGGTGTTCTGCACACATTGCATTATGGGTGTGCACACGGACACTTTTGGCACATGGCAACAAAAAGTTTTTGGGAAAGGCCTTTTCCAGGTCCTACCCGTTTCTCCAGACCAAGCCATTTGAATGGCCCCATTTCAAATTATTCAAATTGTTTATTTGATTCTGTTTATCTCCCACCATGCATTGAGCTTCAGAAGAATGTTTTTTTGGTCAGACAGAACACTTGTGATCAAGCAGAAGCTTGAGCAGCCAATTCTCAGGATGCATTCATTCGAATTTCTGCATTAAGCAGGGGGTTAGATCTCATGGTCTCAATGGCCGCTTCTAACTAATATTTTAGGCGAAAATTTTCAGTTTTTAGAAAATTAATGCCAGTTTCTTTAGATTTCTTTAGAAACTGCACTAAGCGATTTTATACTTCTAAAGCTAGAACTTGTAAGAGGGGAAACTTCAAAAAGATGTACTTTTCTTTTTAATTTTCCCTCATTCATTAAATAAAAAACTAAATTCTTTTCATCCTGTTTTTAATGAAAATTTTAGAGCTTGGTAGGTTCTGATGAAAAACTGAACAAAACTCTTACCCATCCCTATTTCAAATTCTCTGGAGTTGGCCAAGATAGATTTTCTTCGATTTCAACCTTACACCTTTTTTCATGTGTTTCTCTAGGTGGTTTGAACCTTTTGTTATCCAGTGGCTGGATGAGAATGAGGAAGTGTCACGAGATTTCTTGCATGGAGCATTGGAACGGGACAAGAAAGATGGGGTAGATATCAGGCTGAAGATTTGCATCTGGTTTCATCAGCACTGTAATTATAATAGTTTAAAAAAAACAACAACCTCAGAACTGAATTCTGTTGGAACACAGCTCTTTGTGGCAACTTTTGACAGAGACATATTTTAGAAAGAGCCAGGGTCGCATAACAATTAGCATGTCAAACATTTATCTGCACAACTTTGCAAAATATCTTATGAATTATCTTATGAATATTCTGTTAATTCACCAGAATTCCATCTTTCACTTCAATCACGGAACATGAGTTTTGAGAAGAAAGCGTTCTCAAGTTTGGTTCTTGCCATCTCTGGATAAGACTAGAAAAAAGTCTTTTTTTGAACTTCAGTAATTCACTGTCAGAATTGGCAAGAATGGGTTTAGCAAGATAAATGTTTTAACAGTAATTTCCTATTTTCCCTCTCAAAGAAGTTAGCTTCTCATTCAATCTTCTTGGGTCTTTTCCCAGTTCCAACAAACCTCAGAACATGCCCTTTTCTCCTGCTCTGTGGTTGATGTCTTCTCCCAGCTCAACCAAAGCTTTGAAATTATCAAGAAGTTGGAGTGCCCTGATCCACAGATTGTAGGCCATTACATGCGCAGGTTTGCCAAGGTAAGGAGCAGCTCCTCCTGCTATGGTCACTACTGCCGTGTGCTTATAATTTCTGCTTTTGAAATGATATCGAGGAACAACTCTTAGAGAAGTTGACCAGCCAAGGAAACTTTCTGAACTAAAAGCAGTTGCTAGGCAGATCAAAATATTTTCAGACTTGATGCTATTGTTCCATCTTTTTATAGAAGGTTTCCACAGCTATAGAAGGACAATTTCTGTTTGACTCAAGAGTGTTATGAAGACGTCCTCCTAGCTGCTAGCTAAAGCGGGATGAAGAGTGTGTCTGGGGAATGGAACAGTAGGCTGATTTAGGTAGATCTTGGGTATGACACAGAAATATCATTCAATGTCCATGGTAGACAGAACTGTTACCAGATGTTAAAATCATCTTCTATATACCATATTTTTTGAAGTGTAAGATGCACCAAAATTTTGATGAGGCAAATTTTTTTAAAAAAGGTTTTGCACTCTGCAGACCTCCCAAAAACAGCCCATTTTTCACAAAAACACTCCTGTTTTTTTTTCCAAAAAGAGAGCATGAATAATCTTTAGGAAGCTTATAGAGTGCTCCTGGGGGGTGACCCCTCCCCCAAGAAAGAGCAAAAAGGGGCTCATTTTTTGCGAAAATGGGGCTGGTTTTTGTCGAAAAAGGGGGGGCATGCATAGCATTTAGGAGGCGTATAGAGTGCTCCTG